GCTTTCTGCACTTGTTAATTGGTGAGAAGAAAGATTAACGACGGTGTTAGTAAGAGGTGAAGGAGAAGTAGAAGTGGTGGAATGTGATTTTTTTCTTAGATACAAGGGATTGGAATTTCTTTTTGTGAGTTTCGTTGCTTAGAAGACGGATGTTATCGGCTTGATGATAGGAAATGCGGTCTAAAAGTGACCAATCATCGACACTAAGAATACTGGAGAGTTCAAGATGGAGCTTAAAAAGTTTTTGGGATTGAAAATTAAGGGTTTTTCGAATATGTTGAATCCGTTCACGAAGTAGAGATAGGCTGGCTCGATATAGAATTCGGGAAGAAGATGAAGAGGAAATGTGATGTTTTAGAACAAGAAAATTGGGAACCAAGTTATTATCACGACATCTAGAGAGGAAGGTGAGCGAAGAAAGTAGAGATGAAACTTTAGAGCGAAGATTGGAGAACTCTGAGGTTTTGCGGAATATAACCTCCCGTAGAGGTTGGTCAAATGAAATCGTAGGCTTCCACGGCCAGAGTCAGAATTATAGTTTAACTATAGTCATCCAGGAATGCAGCTCCTGTGAATTGTTACAAACTCACACTTAAATACAAGAAATACAATAGTATTATACCAATAGTAAAAAAATATGTACCTCCTGCTTATCTTCCTTTTTTGGCGCTCTTACACGAGAACAAAATGATGCAGATAGTGATTATGACTAAAATACACTATATTTACCCACCATTTTCTATTTTATGTAAAAACCACATAACTTGTGTAATGTTTTACTTTAAAAAATACTACTATTTTTTGTATTTACTTTATATTTTAGTTTTTTCCTTATGTGTTTCCTTAAATCTTCAGTTTTTCTAGATTTTGGGAGCAAAAACCGTCCACGTGGAAATTTAAAAAAAATTTAACTTTATTTTCAAAAATTCAAATTCAAAAAGTACTACATATAAAAGCCTTTGATTTCTGTTCTCCACAAAAATATAAAATTATTAAATTTTATAAAACTACGCGACTTCAACGTTTTTTTAAATTTTTTGTTTTCAAAACTATAAGAACTGCACGTAGCCAGTTTTTGCACCGGGGTCTTCAATTAGATGTTTTAAAAATATTCAAAAAAAAAATAATAGAAATTTTTTTTTTCAGTTTCAGATTTTTATTTATATTATTTTTTACAACGTAACTGAAAGGGTTAACTAGAACCCGATGAAATCCTTTAATAATGAAAGGATAAAAACCTCTATAAACTAAACGTTAATCAGGCTGATCGGTATGAAAAGTAAATCAAAATTTTAAGTACAAATCCATCCTACTGGGTTGGGCGCCCGTCTCCATCCCACATATGGTCACTAAGTGACAATAAAATATGCACTCGTAGTGGATATTGTACAAACATTTGCCCACGTGTTTGAATAAAACAACACCTTAACCATTATTACTATATTTGTACGATTTCTCGAATGGTACCTCAATCAGAAAAACAACTATAATTTGCCATATGTACCGCACAATGTTAACGGAGAGAACCTTCGGAATTGAATAAATTTCTATTTAATAGGAGGTTGTATTGTGGTTCTTTTAATACAATTCGCCTTTACATTTCTATATATACATAATGACTGGGCCACCCGTGCGATGTAATAAACACCACATTCACTTCAGATTCTGTCTTGATAGAAATATCATTGGCGGGTTAAATTATCCATAATAATGGAATTAACCGAATAATAATAATAACTGTATTCATACATTAAAATTATTTTTGTAATGTACCGCATCCGATAGGAAGACTTGTATGTACCTACGTCTGTATCTTTTTAATTTTATAATGGAATAAATTACGGGAAAATAATTAAGAATAAAATCGAGAAAAAGATAAAAGAAATCGAAGAATAAAAAGGTTTCAGATCGGGAAGATCTTGTATGGATGGCATTTTTAATTACATTGAAACAAGTAGTAGAGAATAGATTGGAATATGATCTCCCCCACTAAACACTTCCATAACACTTGATGAATTAAATGAAAGTCTCAATAACAACAAAAATACTTCACCTGGACCTGATGCTATATCACCAATTTTTATCGAAAAACTACCTATTAGTGCCAAGGTTGTTTTAGTAGAGATTTTCAATAAAATTTGCGCGACCCATAAATTTCCATCTCTATGGAGCGAAGCAATTATTATACCATTTTTAAAAGACAATAAATCAAAAGGTTTTCTTCCTCGTATCGACCAATATCTCTTACCTGCAGCATTTGTAAAATAATGGAAAAGATTCTAAATAAAAGATTAAAATAGTACTTGAAAAAAAATCTCCTTACATGTATCCAAAGTGGAACAGTTCAGAACGGTCTACAATAGATAATATCATAGCATGAATCTGAAATACATGAAGCCTTTATACATAAATACAAATTAATAACAATTTTCTTTGATATAACAAAAGCATTCGACACCACGTGGATACACCACATTTTAAAAACAATGAAAAGCTGGAAAATAGATGGCAAATTCCTAGCCTTCACCAAAAACTTCCTGGTGAAGAGATGTATAAAAGTTAAAACAAACGGTGTCAAACAAAATATTAACTACGAAGTAATTGGAAAATGGCATCCCTCAAGGATCTGTAATAAGCCCGCTGCTGTTTTTAATAGCTGTAAACAGCATATCTAACCATTTTTACTTCCAGTAAAAGCAAATTTTTATACGAACGATTTTGTAATATATATGAGGAGTAAAAACTTAAAAGCAGCTGCATCAATATTACAAAACACATTAGGTAAATAAATTTGAAGGGTGGTCATTGGATATAGGATTAAGATTTTTAACAGAAAAACCTAAAGTAATAATATTTGACAATAGAAAAACACAACATAACTTAAATTTAAAACTAAACGGACACACTCTTACAACAATCAATGAAATCAAATTCTTGGGAATGACATTCGACTCTTATCTCAAATGGACATCGCATATAAATGAATTAATTAAATCATAAACAAATAGGATGCAGACACAATTATTCTTCTTCGATTATATCAAGCTCTAATTAGAAGCAAACTAGATTACGGATGTATATGCTATGAAACTGCCACTAAAACTCAACTGAACAAACTGAAAATCATCCAATCCACAACATTACGCATAGTTTTCGGAGCTTTCAGAACCACGCCAATTAGCAGCCTTCAAATCTCAGCCTGAGAACCTCCACTATTTCTTAGAAGGCAATATTTTTCAATGTATTGTGCTAGTAAATATCCCAGTACAATTGCAAATGAAAACCCCTTCATAACAAATTTAATAAAGAAAAACTCTCGGAATCTCTACTCAAATTCTTCCCCTAGAAACTTACCCTTCAACAAACGCATAGATCGATCTGGAAAGTTTAAATACCAAAAGCAGATTTTACCTTACTCAGCTATACCAAGCATTCACACAATCCCTCTGAAATTAAACAACAATTCCACTCTACCATCCCCAGATATCCTGATTTCAAACTCATTTTTACTGGCGTCTCCAAAAGCAGCAATGGTGTAGCTGCTGCAGCTATTTTCGAAGACAGTACCTCTGTCACCCGCTTAGCCAATGAGTGTAGCATATATACTGGAGTACACTTCGCTTTTGCATTGGGTGGCGAGATAACCATAATGCCAGCATTTGGTTCATCGAGTTAGAATCTAGATTCTAACTCATGTTGTTTATATGTGTGTGTGTGTTTAATTAAAACCAAATTTTTTGACAATTTTTATATTATCTTTACTATATCTATGCATAGGTTCTAATTGTTTAATATTATAATATAAGGAAAGAAAAAATAAATCAAAGAAATATTTCATTAAGTAATACATCTGTAATTAGCTATCTCCTTGTCCTGTACTTCTTGCTTTGCTAGTATATATACTTTTTCATTTTGTTTTATACCACAAAATGTTTTCACTCAGTTGAATGTTCTGTTATTCTGTATAAAGACACATGGTAATCTTATCCAACTTTTCATTCACGTACAGTTGTTGCATCACCCTCATATCTTTGCCATCAAGATCGATCTCCTTTAGTCAATATTAATAGTTCAGGCATTTGGTAATCAATAAAGTAACTAAATATATTCTTTCTTCAGTCATAGGATTTCTGATTAATTTCTAGAAATGATCATATATAAGATATGATTGGTCTTTATTCAATAATTGAAACTTTATTTTATTAAAAACCAACATGCAGTTTCTGCATGCATTCTAAACTGCTGGATTTCTAATTATTTTACAACAAAAGTCATGAGAATTTATTTGTACATGACTTAAATTTGTTTTGAAAACAAATGCTAAAATTGCTCTATGAATTAAACACATTTCAAAATTTTGCATAAATAGGTATAATACATTTGATAGAGAATTGTTGTAAAAGTAAGGCCACATGTAGTGCATTAAAAATGTTTTTTTTTATTTAAATGAACCCTTCTCAGCAACAAAGATCATTGACAGGGATATTTGAATTGTCAATATTTTTATATAATGATTTATTGTTTAAAAAAGAATAAAGTTGATAAAAAGTACTACTTTGAGGAAAAAATATGAATAATAAAGATGTTTTATTTAGGCAATAGCGCCTGCACTGTCAGTTCTTTATTTAGCACAAGATATCCAAATTCCAAGTTATTCAATAATTCCAAGGATTAAGTTCTCAAACCAAAAATTTGGAAAAGAAATAAATTATGTTCCTATAAATTTCGATGTCATCAAGAACTTTATCCAAATTGAATATTATCGAGAACAATACCCAATATGATCAAAAAATAAATTTCTGGTTAGCAATATTTCTACACAATATTATTGTGCCATTTTTCTATAAGGAAAATTCAAATTCTGAAAAGTTATTGGAATTGCTAAAAGAGCAGAATTAACAGAGTTGCAGAAGTAACTGAAGTTGAAGAAAAAATTGGTTTTAAATGGATGGGTGCCCTACCCACAATAGACAGAGGTTTAACAATTAAACAGAGGTTTTAAAAACAGTTTACTTTATTGGTATACCTTTCCACAATTTTAGTTTTTACATATATGATATTAGAACATATTTAACAAATTTCTTTGTGTTTAAAATACTTACCCAAATACAGCTTTAGAAGCATGTCCACATACATACTTTTTTTTAGTCAGAGGAAAATGAAAAGCAAGTATTGTGAGATCTTACACAATATGATTTCTTCATGTAAAACACTAGTACAATTTGGGTATCAAATGTATAGGTTACTAAGAAACATAGTTGGTAAAAGAACTAACTTTATATTTATTTTCAAAAATATATATTAGTTACAGTGTTTGTTCAGTATTAGCTTTAAAACCTTTATTACTCAATTAATATCACAATTCTGTATCATATTTTGATAACCTTAATATATCTACTCATTAATCAATATATTCTAGGTTATTAATGCATTCCTACAATAATAGGTGAGCATATAAAGATTAATGTTTGCAGAATAGAATATGAGATACTGTCTGCTATATTTCCCAATGCAATATATCACTTCCACAAGAAGTAACTACTAGTAAGTACCATTTTACATTAACTGATTGTTTAGAAGCTAATTAACTAGAAAAAGCACTTTTATACTGAAGACATGATATATGCATTGGACCCTTTAATTCTTTACTTCTCATTTTTAAACTTATTTCATAGTGCTGACTTTTTTCCAGCCTCATCCCATATTGTTGTTCCATCACAGGCACAAATGGTTTTTGGATTTTGAAATAGACCAGCTGATCTTGCAATAACCCCACAAGCTACTCTTTTAGCCTCTTCGCTTCCAGAATTTTTGGCCACAACAAAAGCTCTCCCAATTAAATCAGACACTTTGATAACTTTGTCCTCAAATCTAAATACTGCTCTATTGTTGTCATCACTGTTGATAGTACCTAAATCACCATATAATCGACCATTTTGAGTTGCTAAAGGGTTGAAGATATTGCCTACATTTTCACATCCTGAAATTAAAAAATTCATTAATATAATTACAAAAATATGGTTATTTAAAAATGTTAACAACATGAATTTGTAAAACCTAAAAAAGAAAACACACAAAAAGGACAAGCTGTAATTTTTGTAATACAATCTTATAATCAAATGAAAAAAAAAAGATAAGGATTCTCACCTTGAGATATGTCACCACACTCATGTACAAACGCTCTATATGAACCCTTTTCCAACCCATCAATAGTTCCATCGATTATACAAATGTCTGGTGTTGGCTGTATAAGTCTGACTACTCCCTGCAAGCCTACTTTACCAGCTTCCAAAATTGATACTGCAGCTTGTCCCCCGGCATACCCCTTAACTGCTACTTTCTTTCCAGTTGATTCTAAAACTTTAAGCACTTGGAGCGTTGGTAAAGTACTTTGAACTACTACACGCTGCTCATCCAAATAAACCTGTACATTCTGAACACCACTGATGTTTGCTAAACTTTTCTTAACTGCATTTACACAAGACTCACATGTCATTTGAACGGCGAATTCTACTGTGGTTGAAGCCATTTTGATGAGTTTCACTATGCTAATAGAAACATTCCTCACTTATCTTTGACCTTAGAATACAAATTTCAAGTTTAATTAAATATTTTCAATATTTAAATTTTGACAATTCCATAACCTCAACACTTCATTCTTCTTATTTACAGCTTATTGGGCAAAATTCAAATTGCACATTGCTTCAAAATATGTTTAACTTTTATTGATATTATCTTAATAGCGATTCTTAATACGATATTTTGTATTCTACAGCATTGATTAAAAACTACATATGTATAGTAGTTTTTAATTAATATCTATTGTTTTAAATTTGGTTTCATTTAAAAATTTTGTTTGCTACATACATCGAAATAGTTTTATTTAACGGCATTGGAAATAATAGTAATTATTAATTTCAAAAAAGAAGAATTTGACGTTTGGTATCTTGACAAGGAGGGAAGAGAAAAATTGACAGTTGAAATTTGTTTTTTGTTTTTATGAGGTTATTTCGTTAAAAGAACGAAAAGTAGTACCAGTAGTACTGTAATAAGCTGTTAACTTATTAATAATAATGGAACAGGATGAAGTTGATCTTGAGGATGGAGAGGTAAGTAAAATAATACATCTGATAAACTACCCTGATACCTACTAAAAATTGAATTCATATAATCTTAGATTTCCAATGACTCAGATTCATATACTCCTCTGGAACGACCCAGTGATTATTCAAAAACTCAACCTTTACCGAGACTTCCAGTACGTATAGACGTAGAATCAGAAAGTGAAGAGGAATATCAATCCAATGATAGTGATAGTGATTCTGATCCAAATATGAAAGCCAGAAAAAAGCCTAAAATATCCCTCAAGCCGATGCAACAGTTACGACCTAGAAGACCTAAGAGGTATGATATTTGGAGCAGTAGACTACAAGAAGAAACTTTAGCAGCTACTCTAGATAACTGTGATGTAGACAAAAAAGATAGATCAAGAGATGTAGAATCATATGATTATACTATAGCTCAAAGGTACTACAATGATGAAGATGTAAATAGGTTTAGTCAAGTCAAAGAAAGAACAAATAATAAAAGAACCAGAAGTGAAAGGGATAACATTAATTTAAGGTAGGTTTTTAAATTTTTTTTTTTTAATTTGGTACCTATTTATTAAAACTTTTCTCATGTTTGGTATTAGTGAACTTAACTGTATATGGAGTGATTGTTGTCGGTACTAGTAGATATAGTCTACTTTATTATACCATTATTTGGATTCAGCATCAGTAGTGGCCATTGTCCAACCAATAATTTGGTCTTCACCTGAATCAGATATAAAAATGTTATAAAAATTGATTATTTTGTGTATATTAGGGCTTTCCCTTAAATAAACTTCTACAAAATATATGAAATTTGTCATAGTATCTTAAGATGATTTGCTACTGGTTTATGTTCATATTATTATTCAGCTAGGAATGACTATTTAAAAAGGTATAATTTGTTATATCTATTTGAATTGATTTAAGATTTACCCTGTAATTCACCTGTAAGAAAAAACAGAACTTATTGAGTCATGTATGCCTTTTGGGACTTAATCTATACAAGATAATTTGATTTTGAGTTTCAGGGGTGGATATTTATCAAGAGAATTTCACACGATGGGAGCTTTTTTTCGGAAAATATTACAAATGTTCAAGTTTGCAACAAGGGTACAGATTTGATATATCTAAGTAAATTGAGTTCAAAAGGTTTGCAAAAGAAAAACTATAAACTCACGATTGTAGAATTAAGATGGCAAACAAAACAGTCATAGAGCCCTTACATAGATTTTCGTTGCCTGAAATAACTTTTTTTAGAATTAAAGTTTTCAGAATTAAAAATAAACATACAAAGAAGGTCATACACCACTTGTATATTATGAACGAAATATTGGTATACATTACCCACCATTTGATTGTTTTAATACTAGAATCGGCAATGATTTACCAGTAGTGATGAAGTAAATACCACAATATAATAAATATCTTGCAGTGAGCATTCCAGTGAAAGCTCCGTTATAGCAATAATGATTGCCAATGATGACCAATGATTCTTATTATTACATTTTTAAAACTGTCTAAATATATTTGTTAAGTCTAATGGGCTTAAGCCTAATTTTTATAGCCCATGGAACAATATTTGTGCAAATCTGCACTGTAGGTAAATATAAAAAAGATGAGATCCATAAAGAATTTAGGGGAATACCACTGACAAGAATAATTTCTTATGCTTTATTAAATAACTGTACATTTTTGTAAAACTCAAAAATATTTTTAGTAAAATGTTAATCGAAATGTCACATTCTAGGCATATACAGAGATCATCTAGTGATGATACAAGTAGAGGAGAGACCAGAATCATACCTGACTTGAAAGTTACATCAAATAATGAAGCAGAAGAGATTGCCAGTGAAATTGCCTCTAAATTGAATGAAGAAAAAGAGGAGTTAATTTGTAAGTACTTAAAATATGTTTAATTTTACAGGATGTTTGTTGTGAACTGCAACTGTTTGAATGTGAAGAATTTGAAATTGGTCATTAAAATATTGATTAGGATCTAGAAGGTGAAGTGCGTAAGTAGAATCTGTGTTTCTATTATTGGAAGCCCTTTTGTGTTCTGCTATATGTTTGTAAAAAGTTCTGCCAGTCTAACAGGTGTAAGTTTTTCGGCAGTCGCCACATTTAAGTTTGTTAAAACCATTGTGTAAGTGCTTTTTATTTTGGCTCTTGTTGTGCGATAAGGATTTTTATAATGTGTACTTCTGTTATTATCTTGTTGATAGGGCTGTTTAAAATGGTTAGAGTTGACTGTGTGATAATTATCTGGATGAGGAGTGTGAGTAGCACAAGATGGATATCATTAAATACTGAAGGAACAAGGAGTTCTGTAAAAGAAAGATACTGAACCTGCGTCAACTTGCCAGTTGTGTTTTCCTTGCATCATGATCACTTAGATTTTTTAAAGCCTGCATTGTTGATCCATTTATATACATTTTTCTATTAAATTCACACTTTGATATGACATTGTTAATGAATTATAACAAAATGTGTAGTTTTGATATTACTTGTTGCTTTAGTAACAATTTATTGCCTTATAAAATTATTTGTAAAACAACTCAACTATTTCTTTGGTTTTCAGTACGTGTCATCAATATTATGGGAAAACAAAAAGCTATAGATTTATTTGAGGAGACCCAAAAAGTCGAGGAAGAAGGTGGAATGTTAATTATGGTAAGTCAATACATATTGTAATTAATAAATTCCTTACACTCCTTTGAGAAACAGCTTTTAGACAATCTGAACTTTTGCCGCAAACATCAATACTGTCAGTTTCACCATAATAAACACTGTAGTTGTTGCTACAGTCAATTCACTTAAAATTCACGCATTGTTTTCCGTTTATGGTACTGAGGAATAATAATTTCTTTAACTTTTGGATCAGTAGGTTTTCCACATACAAATATTATATTTTCCTTGTAATTAAACTGATGGTTGGTAAATATACATACTCAAATGACGCGTTACAATTTTTGTTGGCAAGGCACTACCTAGTGCTACCAAAAAAAAATAAATAAAAGGATTTCAGTAAATTGGCACTATATTCGCAAAATAACTGCTTGTTCCAAAATTTAGTTATTAGGACATTTAGTATGTTATTTTATAAATTTTCCAATGCCTTTATTTCCTTATAAACAATGATATTTCTTTATTAAATAAAAAATATTAATTAATAAATATTTCTTTATAAATTTATCACCCAGTGAGTCACTGGCAGTGACATATGACATGTAATATATATTAAACGTCATTGATCCTAATTGTATGAAAAACAGTACAACTGATAAAAAAGCCTATTGTGTAATTTTTTACATTTACTTAGTTGTGTCTGTTCTTTTATTTGATTATATGATATTGCTTATTTTTGCAGAATAAAACCCGTCGAAGAACACCAGGTGGTGTTTTCTTGTTCTTGGTAAGACACGATTACCATATTACGTTAGATCAAAAAAATCAAATATTTGGAGAAGAGCGACAACGGTTTAAACAGTACACAAAGAAAAAACAAAAACAGAAAAATTTGGAACGGAAAAAAGCGAGTAAGTGTTTTACCTATTTTTATTATTTGTTTTCTGACAATTAATATTTTATACAAGCTTTACTTCCAATATGCTACAGGATCACCTTAATGAACTTTCGCCAAATTTAGAAAATCCTGAGTTTTTGTTTAAAACATAGTGCAATTTATTTCCTACAGATTTGCCTATGTTTCCTTTAATCATACAAAAAGATTCCTTAACATAATTAACTAAATCAGTTGATTCACAGAGTCAAATTTTGTTTTTCCAGTTTTTTATGTCCTCAACAATAAATTTAAAATGTACGGTTATGTGTGATAGATTCTCAGGTAAATTAGGTAATTGAACAAGTCATTTACTTTCCCCCCAGGGGTGCTGAAGTGAAATCTGTTAGTTCTGTAATAAAACTTTGTATTCCTTAAAAATACTTCACATATAATAATTGTGCTTGTAAACAAGTGCTCCATTTCGTGATCACAGGTAAAGGGGGTAATGGAGTATTACCCAGACCTTCTTTGTAAAATTAAACTCGTAGTGGCGATTTTATAAAAACTTTTTGAGCATTATTCATTGTGAAAAATTTCGTCTTATTTTTTCCACGACAAGGTTGAGCCCATGAGCTAGACATGTTACATGAACTAAATTGCTATAGACTATCTTTAGGCTTTGTTTTGCCTTTACCATATAGTTTGCATTGTCACTTAACAAAACTTTATCGTATGGTATATTTTCCAGTAGAAAAAAAAACGGGACAACTCATACTCATGTATGAGTCATACTGTATGTATATTCTAACTTTACAAATATCATTGTCTTTTAGTTCAAGCTAAAAATCCAAGAATATTACCGGAACTTCTGACACGAGCAGAAGCATTCTCGACTGCGAATTCAACAAAGAAGAATAAAGAAACCTGTGATCAAGACTTCGTCAATCCCCCTCCTACACCAGAGACTGATTGCTGCGACAACAGTAGAGATGGAATGGAAGGTTCTACTTCGCCCGTTATAAACTCCAACGACGCACTGAATACCGAGAGAGGAGGACTCAATAGCTACGACGATGATTTTCTAGATCTTGGCTGTGCTGCAGATATGGAACTGTTTTAAAAACTGTGACGTAGGTATTCATATTTAGCGTTTCGAATTGAGTGTTGTTGCTTTATTTTGATTTATGAATCAGTACTAAAAATTCTAATTTTCTATGTGATATTTACAACTTCAAGCACTGTGTCTTTCTATGGTTTCCATGTGAAAATTACGTATCCAAGATACCCAGCTTTTCTTGTCTTTATAGTACTTGGCAGTTGTCGTTCAGTGGTCAGTTTAGCTGTGTCATATTCATTATTATCAGTACATTGATTACATACATTGATTTTAAAATTTTTTGACATTAAGGAACTTAATTAAAAGTAGCCCTGTTACACTGATATATATCCCTTCTACACTTAACAGACCATTATAGGTTTTAAAAGGGCACATTAAGACAATTTCAGAATTGGCAGAAATGTCAAAAACACAATAAAAAAACTTACAACACAGTGAATTTTGGTCGTTTCACTATACACTTTGACTGAAGTCTATGCGAATTCTTTTAATAATGAATAACTAGGTGAACTGCTTCAAAATGAACAACTTGCGGACACTGTTTCTACTCTACTCCCGTAAGCAGGCAATTTGACATGCTTTATCATCTTGTGAACAAGAAATAAATCAGAAATTAAGGAACCCTAATAGATTTCTCAAAATTTAAAGCACAAAAACTGCCACATATACAACTACATGTATATGGGCAAAGGTGTACTCAAGCAATTCAAGAGTTGCTCGTACTGGGATAGTCTTGGTACATCTTGACTGGTTCGCCGCCAAAATCAGAATCAGAGTGCGATCTCACGATCTCAAACTTTTCGAGGCGATATGCTTTTGCCCGTAAAAAAAATTCAAATTAAAAAGATTTCGACATTCTCTTTTCTATTTGGTTTTGCTTAGCGGTATTTGCCAATGTAAATAAACAATTGGATTATATCTATTGTCTTCGAAGATTTTGAGACGCAATTCTTTTTTAGAACATATATATGATCAAAATTTTGATTTTTTCAAAATTTTGATCATATACACAGTGAAAAAATGCTACAGTCCTATGCCATACTTGTAGTGTATGTACCGGGTGGTCCAATAAGCCGATCTCTCGGCTATATATCAGAAACTATTCATGTTATAACTTTAGGAGAAAAAAATCCTTAGTAAAAGTGGCCAAGAGAAATCGCTGGAAATAACTTTCAAGATTCTGGATTAACCGCTAGGGGGCGTAACCTGCGAAGAAAATTTTGAAAACCAGTTTTTTGGGAAATATGTCCAATTATACCAAGTGTTAAATAAGTAAACTAGAAAGAGGCATAAATTCTGCACAAAGTTGTTCAAGTACTTTTTTTTTTATTTTTTCAAATAAAGGGTGGGGGAGAGTGGGAAAGTATTTGTGGATAAATACCTATAACTTTGGTTTTCATCAACCGATTTTAACAAAATTAGTGTCATTAGAAAGAGTATGGATGAATTAATTTACATCTACTATAAAATAATTGCATTTAGTTTTAATTGCCGTAGGTAGAGGGTACTTTCGAATAGAAAAAATTAAAATTTGTTTTTCTTCAAAATTTTTAATGGAAACACCTATTTATTGTAAATTATAATGGAACTGGATTAAATTCGTAACAAAACAGCGCAAACCGCATGTTAATAGCTTTTATCGAACTCGAGATATGAATAAAAACGCATAAACATAAGTAAGTATAGTATTGACACACCCTGTATTATAAAATAAATTAAAAAATAAGTCAGTAGGTACTTTCAAAATTTTTTATAGCAGAAAACTCTTAATGTTGATACCTATTTTGACCATTGTTATTTCATATGATTAAAAATTGTTTTTTCGAAACTAAGTAGGCTACGACAATGAATTTGACAGGGAGTTCATATTGTTTATTTATTGACAGCAGTCAAAATATTGTTATATGTATTATAATTCGAATTGAAAATTGCATTTTTTTTCAATAGATATTAATATTGGTAATATAAAAAGTAATTAATTAGGTATCAGTACTAATAATTCGTGGTGAGTATATCAAATTGTATGATATGATTGGAGTTTATTTCGAATATCACCAAAATGGCGCTATTGCCTCACGTATATATTCTGTAAGATATCCTGGCAGGAGATATTGTGACAAAGAAGTAGAGATTTCGGACTACTTATATGTGGATTCTGTTGAATTAAAGCAAGAACATTGATTGAATTATGTTCGGTCATAACTCTACTACGTTGTTTAAAACAAGGACGAGAAAGAAAAACTACCAGTTTCTCTTAATCTGTTTGCCTTTCTTTCAAATACTTCTTTGCCATAATGTCTCCTGTCACGATATCTTACAAAATATATACGTGAGGCAATAGCGGCATTTTGGTGACATTCGAAATAAACTCCAATCATATCATACAATATTTGTACTGATAATTAATTACTAATATTACCAATATTAATATCTATTGAAAAAAATGCAATCTTTAATTCGAATTATAATACAGCACTTCTTAACAATGTTTTGACTGCTGTCAATAAATAAACAATATGAACTCCCCGTCAAATTCATTGTCGTAGCCTACTTAGTTTCGAAAAAACTATTTTTTACAAAATAGGTATCAACATTAAGATTCTTCTGCTATAAAAAAATTGAAAATACCTACTGACTTATTTTTTAATGTAATTTATAATACAGGGTGTGTCAATACTATACTTACTTATGTTTATGAGTTTTTATTCATATCTCGAGTTCAACAAAAGCTATTAACATGCGGTTTGCTCCATTTTGTTACGAATTTATTCCAGTTCCATTATAATTTACAATAAATAGGTGTTTCCATTAAAAATTTTGAAGAAAAACAAATTTTAATTTTTTTTATTTGAAAGTCCCCTCTAACTACGACTATGAAAACTAAATGCAAGTATTTTATAGTAGATGTGAATTAATTCATCCACACTCTTTCTAATGACACTAATTTCATTAAAATCGGTTGGACCAAACCAAAGTTATAAGTATTTATCCACAAATACTTTCCCACTCTCCCCCACCCTTTATTTGAAAAAATAAAAAAAAAGTACTTGAACAACTTTGTGCAGAATTTATGCCCCTTTCTAGTTTACTTATTTAACACTTGGTATAATTGGACATATTTCCAAAATAATGGTTTTCAAAATTTTCTTCGCAGGTTAGGCCCCCTAGCGGTTAATCCAGAATCTTGAAAGTTATTTCCAGCGATTTCTCTTGGCCACTTTTACTAAGGAATTTTTTTTCCTAAAGTTATAACATGAACAGTTTCTGATATATAGCCGAGAGATCGGCTTATTGGACCACCCGGTACATGTCAAATGAAGTCAACATCTGGTTGACATTTATTCTCCGTAAGAATAACATTGGTCTATCTTACCCATACTACACTCCCAGTGTGAATTCTACTATTGATATTTATACATTTTACAGTGATTTATTTGTTAGTTACAAAGTTTGATTTTGTTGTTCTTTTCTATTCTTCTAGTGCACTGATTCTTTAATAGAATCATATCATAGAATAATCACAGTGCATACTTTTTGCAATTATGAACAATAATTTCAACGTGAGGCATTATATTATTAAAAATGAATAACCAAAATCCAAAATGTGTATCCTGCAGTTTTAATTTGTAACCTTTTTCTTGATTAATGGATGAACAATGACAAAAGACGTGAAGTACTTTGTATAATGTCCATAATTACAATGATGTCTTTTCTATTTTCATGAACAGTATGAATACCCCGTGATTGAAAATTCCAACGTGTATGGGAAGATTTTGACAACCTGCCATTAACTACCTCATCCAAAATTTTTGTGCTTTGAAAAGAATGAAGCACAAACCAGATACATTAGGAAACAATATCCTAGCCTGCTCATTGATAAAACATGCACTTGTCATAATTAAGTTCATTTGGTGTGAACAGCAATGAACGTAGTTTGCAAGAGGATATGTCTCCTTAATAATTTTTTGCACAACATTTAATCCACCACTCATAACAGATGCTCTATCATAACTTTGAGCAATTAATTTGTTCGGACTATGTTTTAATAAGGGATTTAAAACATTTAAAATGCATTCAGCGATTGATTTAGCATCATGTCCGTCCAGTACATAAAATCTCCAAAAAACTCTCAACTGGTCGTTCTTTGCACAAATATCGGAAAACTATAACTAATTGAAATTCACCAGCAACGTCTGTCGTTTCATCGGCAACCGCTGCAACATAAGGAAAATTTTTAATTTCTTTCTTAATTTTCTCGTGGTAAACATCCAACATGCATTCAAGGAGTTCATTTTCAGTTGTTTTTGAGGTAACTTTAAAATATTTGGAATTTTGAATATGAACCTTCAAGTCGTTGTCCAATTCCGCGCTAAAATTGACCAGCTCCTTAAATATGCCTGTTTTCTAAAATTTTGGTTTCATCGGGACCTCTAAGAGCTAACTCAAAAGCTCCACAAAACCTTATATAATTTTTGATTTGATTCAAGACATATCGATTCTTATCCACCTGTTCATTGTGTTTGATTAGAGTATCATAATAAGCTGAATTTAATTGGGTTTTTATATTTAACTTACCAATCATTGAAAAGCTAAAAACATTATTCATGTACACTTTAGATTTTTCATGTGATTTCATTTTCTCCCATATATGAACAAGATCATCGGTTCCTTTGTTTGGCCAAGTCTTGTCACATTCAAACAAAACGCATACAAAACAAAACAGTTTATTAGTTTGTTCGCAACCACACAACCAGATATTTTTATCAGAAATGGTTTTATTAAACTTACGACAAGTTTTTGTCCACTTCCACATTGTTTTTCAACTTTTAAATCGGGTAAAGGCCGACCGAGTTCTTTAATTTGTAGTTTTTTTTTCTAACGAAAAATAACCAAAAGAGTTGAAGATATTAATTTGATTCATTGTCAATGGCTCTATCTCAGTCACTCGACATAGGGTGCTTGTAAAATCTTTCTCTTTTCATAGGAGCCACTATGATATTGGC